AAGTTCAGTTTTGCTCCATTTCTGCTACTATCACCCCAGCTATTGATAAGATGTCTAAATTTATTGCAGAATAATTCTGCAGGAAAAGAGATAAAAGGTTCCTGAATAAAATATGAGGCGAGAGCTGTAAATTGTAGCAATGCATATCATTTCATTCAAATGTAGGAAGCAATTACCATCTGCTATACTCATCAGTTCCCTCCTTTATGACTTAATTATATGTTTAATGCTATCAGATCAAGGAAAGGGCACAATAGATGAATGAGTGAAAGAAATAGAAAAGATTCGGCAACAAGACAAAAGGCAGATGAAAAGTAACCCGAGAAGAGAATTGACTTCATTTGTTGGGAGAGGAGTTAATTTAAATAGTATATTCTGCGTGGTGCCAAGATAATATAAATCATGTGTTTGTGAATTTGCTTCATACAATTTTAACAAAAGCGTTAGAGTTTCGGCAAACCCGGCTCTGCAGGCTCTGATTTATTTAGGGGCAGGTGCCATTTGCCAGGAGCGCGGCGGCCGTGGCCACGTGCGGCACCGCGACGGCGCCCGGCCCACGAGCAGCAGGTGCCGGCGGAGAGGAGCCGGGCACAGGGACGGTGCTCCGGACACGGGTCCATCCCATGGGAACAGGGCTCCAGCACACTGGGAAGAGGGCTCCCTCCCCCGGGGAGCAGGGCTCTGGCTTCCAGCCGCTGACGGCAGCGAGCCCGCGCTGCGCACCGGCTCTGGTTTCACTCGTGTCCATAGGGCTCGTTCCCCTCTCTCACGTTGCCACGTGGGGAGCCGTGGGGCACGGGCAGCGGGCGCGCGGTCCGGCACAGACCCCCTCCCCACCCGCACCACAGGCCTCTCCTTCATAGCTCCAGTCCCGCGTGGCTCTGGCGCCTTTGCTGGAGCAGAGCGGAGCTCTGGCTTCCCCAGGAGGGCTGGAACAGAAGCGCCAGCGCAGGGTGATGCCAGGAGCCCCGGCTGTGCCCAACGTGCAGCCCTGCAGCCGCTGGAGCCGCGCGGCCGGCAACGAGGCAGCGGTGACAGCAGCGGCAGGCAGAGAAATACTCCTGAACCTTTTGTTTATTCTTAACTCCACTACATCAGCTACAATATCGGTGCTGCTAACATGCTGCTATCACTACATTTGAAGGAGAACATACTCAAAGGCAGTAGGCGCCTAAATCTCCTTGCCTTAATTAAAGAAAAATATTTAAAAGTCACTTAAATACATATTGTGCATCCTGGTCCTGCTCCAGCTGGGTACCGTGCCCTCACCAGGACTGAATATTGGTTTCATTCAAGTCCCTTGGCACGAAACGCCCCCCTGGAGCAACTGGCTTGGCAGCTACTTCTCTTGTATGAAAATCCTGAAAGTAATTTAAAAGTTCATTTATTTTGAAGTGATGTTATTATTATTTTTCTGGAATTTTCCAGTGAAATTGGACACTTGGGATACTAATGTGACTGCCCTCAAATCTCCAAACTCTCTGCAAGAAGCAACTTGCCCTTCCTGGATGCAGGCGCGCGCCCCACGTCCCTGGGGAGGCGAAGGCCCCGATGGGTCCCCACGATCTAGGCCATGGAAGCGAAGTGCAGATGGGATGGGATGGGATGGGATGGGATGGCAGGATCCAGCTGCATTCCCGAGAAGAGGGAGCCCCACGTGGCCCTCGATATCCCACCAGGGCCCATGTTGCACCATCGTTCATGCTGGTCACGTTGTCCAACATCAACATTGCCTCAGCACCAGCATCGCCCATGGGACTCACAACAGGGACAGCCAGACAAGCGCCTGCTCCACGGGGAAGTCCCCGTAGCAGAGGGTCACCACGGCCACCAGCAGCGCCCCGGGACGGTCCTGTGGATGTGCCAGTGGCCATTCCCGACGGGGAGCCCCAGCTCCCGCCGGAGGAGACTCAAGGGGACGAGTCCTCCCATCCTGCAGTGCCATGGGCTGCACTGAAGCGCAGGGGAGGCTGGGGAGAAGGGGACGGGGACCACGGCTGCCGCCCCCTCCCCACCATGCCGCCTTCCAACCCCCACGCTGCGCCGGCAACCCGGCAAACTCAGTTTAACTATTTAAACGTAATAATCTAATTAGGTAAAAGGGTTCAGCAGCGCTTGCATTTCACTAATTTCAACCATCTGCTTCAACATTTGCTCCTATGCACACCAGATTTCAGAGTGTCTTTGCTCTAATAGTAATTAATGAAACTGTTAATAAGTTACATATATCATATTATGTTGCAATAATCTATCAAAGGATAATGTTATGAGACAAATTATATATAACAATTACAGAAAACGGCTTGCATTACTAAATGCTGCACATTGCTAACTAGTTTCTTTACTCTTCTCCTCTTAATGAATCGCTAATTAATTTAATGCACACTTTATGCATAATTTGAATTTTAAAAACATTGCTGGGTCAGGTTTTACCACTCTCCTCTACATGCTGTCTGCTTCTACAAGACATGTATTAGCAAAACATGACCCCTATGCAAATGACAGAGCCCTGCTGGTATTTTCAGTCCCAATCCCCACGGAGGTATCTCCACACACTCCCTGCCGTGCACACACACATTGCACTGCATCGCATCACCCTGCATTGCATCACATTGCATTGCACTGCAATGCACCACACGGCATCGCATAGCTTTGCACGGCATCATATTGCACTGCATTGCATGGCATTGCATGGCACTGCATGGCATGGCACTGCATGGCATGGCACTGCATCGCCGCAGCCCCTGCAGCCCCGCAAGGCAGCCCATCCCCTGCACAGCACTGACACTTGGCAGCCAAACTGCTGCAAACTCAGTCGTTTTTTACATGTTGATGCAAACAAGGGGCTGTTCTGTTCTCTGTGGTAAAACCTGCCCCTTTTGGGGGAAGCTGGTTTCACTCACGGCCCGTGCTCACAGCCATCCACAAACAGACTGTGGCACCAGCATAAATCAAAACTCCCAGAGAAAACAGCTTGTCTTAAAATCAGGGAACCTTTAAAAAAAAGCGAACTGCAAAGCTCAGTTTCTCTGGAGTTTCTCCCGAGGGACCCAGGCTGCACCTCCCACTGCCTCCTTGGACAAGGGCTGCTCGTGTGAAGGCAACACAGGAGCCCAGCCGGGCTTAAGCAGTGCTGGCTCCCTCCTGGGGTACTCTGAGTAAAAAGTAGCCAGTTTTCAGCTCTGGGTTAGTTAGCCCGATGCTCTAGATTTTGTTAAGGTTTGAGGATTAGCCAGCAGGTCAAGGGAGGGGATCCTGCCCCTCTGCTCAGCTCTGGGGAGGCCAAACCTGGAGCACTGTGTGCAGTTCTGGGTTCCCCAGTGTGAGGGACCTGGAGCTTCTAGAGAGGGTCCAGTGGAGAGCTGCAAAGATGATTAAGGGAATGGAACATCTCTCGTATGAGCAGAGACCGAGTTGGGCCTGTTCAGCTTGGAGAAGAGAAGGCTGAGAGGGGATATGATTAACATGTACACGTTCATGAAGGGAAAATGTAAGGAAGAAGGGGCCAAGCTCTTCTCATTGGTGGCCAGTGACAGGACAAGGGGTAATGGCCATAAACACAGGAAACACAGGAAGTTTCATCTCCATGTGAGGAGGAACTTCTTGACTGTGAGGGTGACAGAGCAGTGGAACAGGCTGCCCAGGGAGGTTGTGGAGTCTCCTACTCTGGAGGTCTTCAAAACCCACCTGGATGCCACCCTGTGCCACATGCTGTAGGTGTGCCTGCTGGAGCGGTAAGGTTGGACTAGACGATCTCTAGAGGTCCCTGCCAACCTTAACCACTCAGTGATTCTGTGATTCTGTGAATGGTGGAGCCTGAGTTATGGCAGCTCCTCCCTGCAGTAGCAGCCACTCGGTGCCCAGGACTAGAGGAAACGGCCACAAGCTGAGGCACCAAAAGTTCCACAGGAACTTAACAAAACACTTCTTGACAGTGAGGGTGACAGAGCCCTGAAACAGGCTGCCCAGAGGGGTTGTGGAGTCTCCTTCTGTGGAGATCTTTAAAACCCACTTGGATGCAGCCCTGTGCCACGTGCTCTTGGTGACCCTGCGTGAGCAGGGGGGTTGGACTCGATGACCTCTGAGGTCCCTTCCAACCTTGGGCATTCTATGATTCTATGATTCTACAGGGCTGGGGGTGCCCACGCGGTGAGTCCTGCTGCCCTTCCAGCTGCAGAGGGGCCAGGGTGCTCACAGTGCAAACGCAGCTTTGCAAGCGCTCCCTTTCAAGACACCGTTGCTGCCCGCTCCCTTTCCTCTCCGCGCGCTCGTGCCCTGCTGCGGTGGCAGCGATCTCTTTTCCAGGCTCCGCAGCCGCTTTTCCATCGGCACGGCTGGAACCGCGGGCAGCGGCACGGGGCGAGCCCGGGACGAGCTCGCTGCGGCAGCGGCGGCAGCCCCAGTTTTCCCGCAAGCCCGGGCCGCCCGTGCAGCGCTGCGCCCCGTTCCGCTCCGCTCCGCTCCGC